TGGGAGAACTTGCACAATTGGTGGCTGACTAAATACTTTTTTGCCCCACTGTATATTTTATCTATTATACTTTAAAATTGCCCAGTAGCAAAGTTAAAACTAATGAGAGCTGCAGAATTGTCTAGGTAACATCTATGTATAGTGTGGAATGCACTCTCAAACAGTAGGTAGAAAGTGCGTATTAATTTATATTCACGAAGCTCAGAGGTGCAAGAAAAGAAGCAGAATCCTCTTCTATTTAAATACGGTGAGGAAAAGCAAACTGCGCCATCCTGCAAGTTCTCACTGCAGAGGAAAGTTCTTGAGCACCTCAAGACAATGAGGCCAAAACCACAACAGGTTTGGGGCGGGGGGAGGGTGCAAAGGCTGTTACGACTTGCAAAGGATTGTGGAGATGTTTGCAACCTACATTTGTCTCCCTTTTTAAAATACTAAGTGCGCAAGAGCGACCAAGGCTGAGGATTATGCCCGCATGACTAGCCCAAGGAGGGCTGAGACTCAGACCCAGCCAGGTAAGCCAGCGGTCTGGATTCCCCCCATCCGCCCTGCCCCGGGTGGAAGAGCATCGCCCTTACTTTGCCGAGGAGATCACCACTGAATGTTTGTCAGACTCCAGGATCTTCGCCAGGTGGAGGGCCACGGAGTCAGCGTAGTGAGAAATCTGAGCCTATAAGGGAACAGCACCCAAGCAATGGTCCTTCGGGTCCCACTATGCCACCTTCGCCTCTGCCAACGGGAGGACCCGGGCAAGGACACGCCTTGGCACCACCCCACCTCCAAGCATGCCTCCTGCCAACCTGGATGGTGGAATCCTCGCTCTCCTCTTCCCTGAGGGCCGGTGGTGACTGCTTGGGGGCCTCGTACGTCAGGATGCTCCACCTGCAGGGAAGCGAAGAGGTTCCAGTGCTTCCCGCCCAAGCAGGCAGCCAGCCCCCAGCCAGGGGAGGGTCAGGACCCCAGGGCTGAAAGGGCAGGGCCTGTGCCACCCCTGGGAAACGGAGCCAAGCAGCCCTGCAATCGCCCATCCGTTGGTCCTCTTTTGGAGAGGGCTTTGACCGGGCCCCTCCTTACCTGTCCAACATTTTGGTGGTGGCACGCTCCAACTTCTCCAGAACCTGCAGCAACTGTGTATCGTCATCGCAGAGGCTGCCCCAGCCCAGCACCCGGGCCAGGTCATTCCCGGTGCCCAGGGGCAGGACCCCAAGTTGGCACTGCAGAAACACAGAGGGGTGGTCGGTGAAGCGAGCACAGTGGAAGCTGCATGCAGCCTCATCCCAGGCCTTGGGGAAATCGGACCCTCTCAGGGTTCATGAATCGCTGCCTCCCCGAGTCCTGCTCCCTCCCCTCCCCTCCCCTCCCCAATTCTCCAGACATGCCACTCCAGCTAAGACCAGCAGCATCTCCAGGTGGCAGCAGCAGCAGCAGCAGCAGCAGCCGCCTGTAGCAAAAGCAAAGTGGTTGGTGGCACCTTAAAGCCAGCCAACGTTCTGTGGCAGAACGTTTCATGGATTCTGAAAAGGCAGGCTGGTGGTGGACATCATTTTTTCTCTCCTGCTCCTCTCGTTTCTCCCCTTCCCAAGTATCAACGATTACACAAATTGCCTGGAAACCTCTCCTGAGATCAAGACCTCCAAAATCTCTATTTTCCATCTGTTTCTGCACGGAGACCACACGACCCCAGTCACGAGTTTTCTCCCTCTGATTTGGAGCCAGGCAAGGGTCCGTGTGTGCGTGCGTGTGTGCGTGCGTGCAGGAGATGCAGAGGAGGAGGGGGAGAGAAGTAAACCAGGCAGAGAGGCAGAGAAGCTAAATCTGCTGCCCAACTGACTCCACTGGGCAAGGCCGACTTTGGCGCTCTGGGAGGAAACACCCACCTGCTTGTGCAGCCCCAGCGAGTCGATCTCGGAGAGGACCCAGCCCACGCTGCCATCCCCGCCACACACCAAGATCCGAAAGGTGGAGAACTTCTGAAAGAGCCGCAGCCTGACCGGAGGAAACCAGGAGAAGGCTGTTAGCCTGTGCAGGGAAGCGTCAGCGTGGGGTGCCCACCAGCTGTTCTTCTGGCAGGCAGACAGAACGGGGCCACACGGTCAAAACGGCATGGAGCCTGGGTGAGTCCCCCTCCCACCACCGAGGCAGGGTAGCGGGCGGCTCCAAAGAATCTGGATGCTTACCCAAGGTGCGGCCCCCCGTTCATGAGATCAAAGACTTGGGCAGGGTTGAGGAACTGCTTGAACTTGCGCAGAAACTTCACCCCCTGGTTATCCCCACTCTTGGAGTTGACGAAAGCCAGAAGGGGGCTGGAGCAGCTGGAGGGGCAGGTGGCCTTCCAGAATCCTGGCACAGGGAGGAAAAGCTTACGCTTATCCCAGGCAGCCTCCCCAGGCTGGCGGGAAGGCCAAGTGTTGGGCAAGTGCTAGCAGATCAGGCCCCAGCTCACCCCAAGCAGCAATTTGCTTCACCCCGATGGCAAGGAATGCCCCCAAATCTGGCTCTTGCGTGGGCCGCCTCGGCTCACAAAGCAGAGAATTCCATAACGGTATTGTGCATTTGTGATGATCACATCTGAAGTTATATTATTCCATTATTATTCCATTTCATGTGTGTACACGGTCTATCAATTATCTCCAAAGTCTTAACTTTTTGGCTCGCTCCGTATCTTTGGCATTGTAAGATGATGCCACTGGGCTTTAGGAATACGGAAGGGCAAAGGGAAAGTTTTTTCGAGTTGCTTCTGCCACTGCAAGTCTGCCACCCCCAGCTCACCTCCCCTTCCTGCCCTGGCATTGCCAGGGTGCTCTAGCCAACTGAGACAGGCGCAATTCTTGCCCACACAGGGCAGGGGGCTGTAACTGGATCACTTGGGGCTGATGAAAGCCTGCAGGCTGCCCAAGCTGGGAAGAAAGCTCCCGACCCCCAACAGCTGAGAGGCTCTTCTGAGTCACAGAAGCCTCCACTCAGCAGAGGACACAGAGAACTGCAAGGAAGGGAGGCCAGCCAGAAGGCAGCAGCAGTCTGCAAAGCAACCTTTAGAAATGAGAGCGTGGAGCCGGGCACACGGATGGCGGTCAGCAACCGGCCAAGCACCCGAGGGGCCACAGCAGGATTGGCTGCTTTGGAAGGGCAGGAGGAGGGCTGCTGCGCCCAAGCCAGCTGGCACATCGGACAAAGCCCTGGGGGCCCTCAGCTGGCAACTCCAAGACAGCTCCCGCAGAGCCATCAGAAAAGCGCAGGATGCTGCCCCGCAGACGGAGGGGAGCCCAGCAGAGGGAGCTCTCAGTCCCTCTGCAGCTGAAACGGACTAGCGGCTGAAGCCCCGCTCTGGTCCGACACCATCCCTGTCCCAGGGGACGGGCAAGCGCTTCTCTGCCTGCCAGGCAGACCGGGTTCCTTGAAAACCCAAAGGGCACCCCTGGGCATGGCAACACTGCTGTGCCTCAAGCGGCTTCCTGGCACCTGGTTCCCACCTGAAGGGCCAGGATTGCAATTTCCAGGATTCCCAGCAGACACAAGGGAACCCCCGGCTGGCATTGTGCAAACAGCTGGATGGTGGGCCAGGAGTTGCCAGTTGCTCCCAGCCGCCACTCCTTACCGTCGGAGTCAATGCTGTTGAGGGCGGTGGGGGGGATGATGGAGACCTTGTGCTGCCCCAGGGGGCACTTCTTGCCCAGCTGTTCCCTGCAAGCACTGTGAACCTGATGGGAGGAGAGAGGAGCCTTTAGCGGTCCTGCTGCAGGGAGCGCCTGCTGGGGCAAATCTCCCTGAGGAAAAGACGGGGCGCTGCAAACTTGGCCGTCAAACTACGTAGGCCCCTGGCCCCGAACTCCGAGCCGAAAAGCGTGCGGGGAAGGGTCCCCTCGGCAAAGCTCCAGGAGAGGCTTCAGCAGGCCTCTTCCAGGGACCCCAGCGAGGCGGCTTCCCCTTTCGCCACCTGAAGACTTTGGGCAACCCTCAAACCAGCTGCTGAAGCGACCGCCTCTTCTCTCCCTCACCAAAACTCTCAGCGTCCTTCTGTCCTCCCACAGTAAGAGCCAGCCCCATTCTTATTTGGAGGGAGCCCCCAAAGCTGCCCATCTTCCGATCCCAGTGCTCCTCACCTAGACCCAGCGCATATGGGAGCCTTAGCTGGAAGAGGCCAGGAGTGTAAGAGGGAGGGGAGAGGGGGCTGGCCCTTACCACGGCCTTGCACCAGAGACAGCGCCAGTCCTGCAGCCTCCGCACGCTCCCAGATGTCTTGTCACACACGGCACAGCGGGCACCGACCGGCAGGTTCCCCTCCAGCCACTGATGGGGCATGGCCACCTGTGAAGAGAAGGGGCAGTCCTCCGTCTGCATGTCCTTGAGGGGGGTTCCTGGGAAGAGGGGGCCCCTGGCTGGGTCTGCTGCCCAAGGAAGCTCTGCACTGACCCCGTCTTCATCCTCAATGATGTCATTCCCAATGGAAGCCAATGTGGTCCACTTGCAGTTGTTGGTGGCTCTCACAGCACAGCGTTTGTGGGCTTTGAACTTACAGACTGCGAGAGAAAAAAGCAGATGCACAGGAGTTGCCAGAGAAGAGAAGAGAAGAGAAGAGAAGAGAAGAGAAGAGAAGAGAAGAGAAGAGAAGA